ATAAATATTGAGTCTATTTCTGATTATTATCATATCGTAAAACATAGGTGAACAATATTTAACTTACGATGAACTTAGTGATTTTCTTATTGAATGTTCATATTTATTTGAAAGTACGTAACTTTCTTTGTTCTAATTATGATGTTTCAGCGGTTAAATTTCATTTTTCCGATAGTCATTTTCCAACAAGTCATTGTGTAATGGTCTGGCAAGGAAATGGTTGTCAGGACTGAGTGGCTACCCATTATCAGTGCATTTGCAAAATCTAGGTATTAACCCAAGGCATAAAAAGTATTCGTTTTTTTGACCATTGATCACATCTTTCTATATAAGGATGGGTTAGACTAGGTGTACAGTTATAATGCCGTAATTACTACTAAAAATGCCGTAATTCTAAGTTACGGCATTATTCCTGCACCTATACAATAGACGTTTATTATGAAATGGTTTAAAAAAAAATAGTGATCAATGACGCTTTTTATATCTTGGACTAACGCAAATGCGCTGTAATGATATTATATTTCACAAATAATTATTGTTTTGTTTGCTAGTATTCGAAAAAAAGGAAAATAGGAATTTTACTAATTATTTATTATATTATTTATATAGACGTGAACGTTCAAACTCCACTTCCTACAATCTTTGGATAAAAATACTTTGTTTTAATTTTCTGTATATTAACATATTTTGAATGACCGAATAAAAAAAAAAAAAAGAGTGAATAAAATGCTTTATATTTCTATTAATAGTAATTTTTCCGAAATAAAGGAAAATTGAAAGATTCCGACCAAAGTTACCCAATTTATTTGATGGAATTCCAGCATGTAACTGGGTGTAATTTTTGCCTTTTATGATTTCCGTTTTTTATCATTGTGTAACCAGTGAACTCAATCCAATAAAAATAGATCGATCTAATGTAAATACACACCGATTATATTGATATACAAATAGTTCAACTTTATATATTTTGCGTAGCAGGAGTTATCGACCTATCTACCCTATATACGCTCTTGTAAAAAAAAATCTTTTTTGTATCATAAAAAAAAATATCGGAAAATCGGTTTCATTTTTCATCGACAAATGAGACAAATTGAATTTCTAAATCGCGCGACTTTATTCTTGCTTTATAAATATTTAATGCATATACGTACGCGATCATGCATGTATGAACGTACGTACGTCATGCATGATCATACATTTTAGCAGGATTTTTTGTTTTTGATACTTACGTACGTACTAAGCGTAATACGATCAATGGGAGCCCGTACCGGCGTTTGCAGATCCAGGTACGTGTAAGTACAGGTTAGAAACATGCTATCATTGAAGTAACAGTTAAGATAATTACTAATAATGTCAAATTTTTAATAAATATAATGCCAAACCGAAACTAGTCAAATATCAGTCCGTACTATTTTTTACACTATTTTACACTAAGAGCTTTATATTTTTACAGTATTATATATGTTACGTTATTAGCAGTTAAATTTCATTTTATCACATATTTATAATCAATTATAAAGTTGTATTATGCGTACACGAACGGTTTATGCATAAACATATGGAAGCCCAGATGCGTGACACTGAAATAAAAAACAGCAATCAAGGAAACTTATCAAAGGGCAAAAGTTACACTTTTCATTTTCAATTCTCTTTTTGTTGAAGCCTGTGACCATAAAACAAAAGAGAGATAATCTTATCTTTCAAAAATACTTGCTCGTAAAGTTAATATTTTCGCATGTACAGTAAGTAATTGTATACGGAGGTGCTAACCATAAAAATTATACATATATAATTGCAGTGAATAGTTTTTAACCTTCAATAAAATAAATAAAGTATCATTTGTATTATTTTTAACGATAAGAATGCCCCTAATTGGAATAGCTCTCATCCAGGTGGACATACATGAAGTGGTTTTTAACTTCCATTTAGAATTTTTTTTTACTCGATTCAGCTTTAACGATTTTACGCGCACAGCTATTAGAGTATAGACATGTTATTAATCTACTTAATCATTTACAGCAGAAATATGGTATAACTACTTTGTTTTTAATTTTACGCTTTATGAAAAAAATCACAAAGCTGATCCATATTCGGAATATTTAAGGATCATCTTTCTTGCGAACGCAAACTTGCGGAGTACATATTCCCATTAATTTTTCTCACGAATTTCCAACAATTCTTTGGATCTATTTTACTTTTTCTCAATTTTTGGGTTAATTAAATCATTTGATTTTTTTTTTATTAATACCTTATTATCCGCAGAAAATAGATAATCCCGATTTTGTTAACAAGCAGTATCACGATAAGACTTTCGTATAAGTGGCTGAAATTTTAAAATTAATTTATACAATCTAAAGTATTAAACTAATAAAAAATAAAACAACATATAATAAAGTAAAAGAAGTGTATATAATACTGCTTAAAAGTATCTTTAACTTACGTCTTTTTAAAAAAAAGTTAAATAATAATCTTTTTAAAAAGATAAATTTAGGGATACTTTTTCTACCTTATAGTTCTGCAGCTTCAATAAACGTTCTATCCACTTTTTTTTTTTAAAGTACTTTAAAATTGTATGAGTAATGTAAAATTAATTTAGATTAATTTGGAAATTTTAGCCACTTATACGAAAGTTCTGATATGATATGCAACCAAAAAATCTTTTGATTATGAATTCAGGTTTGGCACTCCTTCAAATCACAAAATTCATGATAATTTTATGTCTACGCCCAATAACCAATTTTAATCAATCAAAAAAATATTTACAAATAATAAAGAAATATTTAAAATCATCCTTTTACACTAAGAAACTTGCATGTATTATCATTTGCCACACGAAGTGCGCCTTCTTATCTTGCCGATAATGGAATTATTTGTATTTTTATGCATAACAAAAGAACAAATTTACAATAAATTTTTGAATTTTAAATTATATATTGCCGCAGGCTGATGTTGAAAATTAGGGACCTCGATATAAAAATATAACCCTACTAAAATCCACATATGATTCACCATCGTTATAGCGGACCTTTTGAAACCAATCTCTCTCGGAGCTTCATCATAGCGAAACAATTTCTAAACCAATTTAAAATTTCATTATAATGCTATCGAATGATATAGTGGATAGCCATTATTTAATGAACGAAATTTCTCAGCTCGATCAATACGATACAGCAAGAACGAACTGTATGTTCTTTTAATTATCATAAATCCTAACTTAACTATTAAAAAAAGTAAAAAAAATGTGCCACAAAAATTTTAAACATTTCATGTTAAAATCTCAACGTTTTCAGCTTTAATTGCGACTAGAGATGCCGTAGAATCGTCCCAATGAAGTCGAATGATAGTTGTCACATGGCTGTAACTTGCCGTAACTATAGTAAGTAACATAGTAAAGTTACGACATTATAGCCGTAACTTTACTTATTATTTACTATAGTTACGGCATGTGACAACTATCATTCAACTTCATTGGGACGATTCTACGGCATCACTAATTGCGACATATGTTAAAGATACGTTGTCACATGATCATATTGAAGTATAACTGGATATTTTCTCAATTTAGAATTTTGTCCGATTACGTACGTACGTATCAGATTAACCTTAGCGTACTGCAACATACGATACGTAATAACTCATCAGATTTTTGTTTGTGCATATACAGTAAATAAAAATATTAAAAATAATAATAATAAAACCGTTGTATGTGCCCTATTCCAGGACCTAGAGTAGTACCCTATTCCAAGGCCTAGGATGGCCCCCATTCTAGGACATATCATTCATAACTGATAACCCCTTTTAAAGCATTCAAATTATAAATATATTCGGAAAAAATTTAACCGTGTGTGCATATTTAGTTCATCCATAAACTGTAAAGGATAAATTGTAAAGGGATTGCAAAATAGTCAAATTCCACAAAAATATTTTTAAAATATATATATTTACAAGTATGTTGATTAGCATACGCCAATATCGCTCAGCTACAAAACGTAAATGCCACCAATATTGCTTACTGCAAAACGTAAATGCTAAAGAATTATCTCTTATCATTCATGCTTTGTTGTGACAACCCGTCCGAGTAATAGCACCCTTCGAGTAGTATGGATGCCTGACAGGTTGTTGTAATAGCTTTTTTAACGGTTCTGTATATTTTTATGAGTTATTACAATATTGAAAATTAAGATAATGCAATTAATACAGTTATTTATTGTATTGATTGTCCTACGCGGATGCGTGCAATTTAAAGAAAAACAAAGTGATAAACTATATCACAAATCGAACAAATCTGTCGGCGGTTACTTATTTAGAGTTTATTTCTTATCAACTTACTTGGTGGGAAATTTTAATGTATGACTAAACAAGAAATATCAGTTTTATGAATTGTATTTGCGTGATAATACGTATAATTTAACAATTAAACCTGTCTCTGTTTGTAACAAAAGGATTATAAATTATAAAGATGCTCAGTACTGAGAATTTTCCCCATTTTTTGCGGTTTTTTTTTTAAAATGAACAACGAAGAATTCTCTCAAATACAGACTCCAAATTGGACAAGACCACGCACGCGTCGTGCATGCTCGCATTGCAAAAGATTAAAACGTAGATGTGTTAAGATATCAAATCAAACTTGTAGTGTATGCTGGGGGAAAAGGGAATGTATCTTTCCCGAATGCCCAATTTGTCTTAGACCAAACAAAGACAATACCAACAACCTTTGTGCTGAATGTCTAAGAACATGCACACAACATCTTGATATGGCCTCTTTTCTTGTAAATGATGATATTTACGAATGTAAGATTTATAACAGCATAGATGGGTTAATTTATCAGATAAGCATTCAAATATTCTAACATTTATTTTCATTATCTTTTATAATTGTATGAAGATTATGAAGGTTACGAAGGTTACAAAGAAAGTACCCCATACGGTGTTACAGGCACAAATGATGCCAATCCTAATTCGTATAATGTTTATTTTCAAAATGATAGCCTACTGATTTACGATGTAGGCCAGCAAGTTTACGATAATGAATCTTTGATTCAATATGAGGTTTTCGGAAATGGTTTTCCTGATGATAATTTTGTGCAGGAAATTTACGGAGATAATATTTTCGGTTTTTATGAAGGTAGTGATGATGGAAATCTTTTTGGTCCTTTAATGGTTAAAAATCAAATTTTTACTAATTTTGAGAATCATTGAATTAAAATGGATACTGTGTGTTCATAGATATTTGATTCGAATTATAATTACGGAATTTTTTATTATTATATTGAATTCCGAGTTAGCTTACCATTGTTGTTAATATCTTATTACTTTTATTAATTCCGGTAGCTACATGCGTAGTGATGTGCCGCGTACAGTACTGTACGTACTATACGTACGTACTGTACGCGAGAATTTTTGCCGATCATTTTATATGTAGTCTGTTTTATGT